GTGGGGTTTTTTTGGGTTTGTTTGTTTGTTTTTTAATGGTACTGGGGTTTGAAAACAAACATGATCTATAACCACTTTTCACTGGTCTCAACGATTCTTAAACTAAGAGCTTCTGTCAAGATATCAAGCATATCACATTCTCATTCATATTATGGAAATCATTTTAATATAAGAAACCATGGTGGGTTAAGATAAAGTTACTGTAAACAGCATCCTCCAAGACACCTCAAATGTCACTTTCTACTCTAAATCTGCAGCCCATTGACTAATCCCACCTATACTGTATTCCCTGACTAACTTATTTCTTCTATTAAAACTTGCGTATCTTATTGAAGTTAATCCATGTAACCAAATGAAATGGCTCACAATATATCAAATGACTCTGCCTACATAGAGCGTTCCATCGGGAGGAACTCTTCAACCCCATTCTGCCTCAGCTCTGACCCCAACCCAGCTGAACTCTTAAAGCCTACCACCTCAGAGCAGCCTTAACTGTGTTAAAGGATCCTCCTCTGTCTTTCCAGGTTAGTCTTAGAAATATTAACCTACTCATCTACACTCTCCACAAAACCGAGTTTCTTTGAACCAAAGACTGAGTCTGAATCACTGCAGTTTTCCCATCACAATGCCTGGTTCAGAGAAGACCCTCAATAAATGTTAAGTGTATGGAAGGATGAACTGGTGAATGAACCAGTCATGGAGGAAGGGAACTAAACCCTAAGCCACAGAGAGACACCTTGCTCTGATGCTGACTAGGCATCTGTCTTCACTACGGTCCACCCAGACACTGCTCAGCATCAGAGGCTAAGTTAACCTACATGAAAACTATAGAGAACAATTTCCATAGACTAGAAAATAAAATAAAATCACAATATAGAGTTTGAGTTTCCCACATTGTAAGCTCAGATACATAACTCAAGAGAGTGAATGCACTCTAGGGTTTGAAAACTAAATAGTTCATATTATGATCAATGCCATGTCATTCAAAGGATGTAGATAATGTTTCACTAAGAGAAGAGAAATTATTCAATTAATGGACAGCACCTTATCAGCTGGAGTTTCACAAACAGCACCCAGTTCTCTCTGTCCCCAGCATCAAGCCTATAAAGCCATACTATAGTCATAGCTATCCCGGTTGGGGTCCCCAGTTTCCCCCAGCTTGTTCTGTCAACCAACACAAGCAGAAAAACTTCCTCCTAGAGCTGACTGCAGCACTATATTAGCTTTCACACAAAGCTGCCCTGAAACTTGCATGCTCCATTATGCTAAATAGAAATATCCTTTTTCAATATTCTGAAAGCAGTGGACTCTTAAACAACCTACCTCAGATATTTTAACTAGAGGGAAGAAAGAAAGGGAAGGAGGGGAAGAAGAGGAAGGAGGGGAGAAGGAGGAGGGAAGGAGGTGGAAGAAGAGAAGGAAGGAAGAAAGGAAAGAAGGAAGGAGGGAAGGAAACAAGGAAGTCTGTCAGACACAAAAATTATTTGTCTTGTATCTGATCAAAGCAGACATTAAAAACACTAGATCGTACTTCATAGTATTTCTTTACATATTTTATTGAATACACTAAATCATGCACTACAAAGTATTAATTTCAGATTAATCATCATCTACCAGACTCTGAGCTACTTAAAGAGAGGAGCTGTATTTGTTCATCTTGCATTGAACATGGAGTCTATTTGTGAAGATTTCCATGAGCTACGCTTTGTTTAGTAATAAATCAGTCTACGAGAAGTTCATAACAAGTCTTCAGTTTATAAAACAAGTTTATGCTTCTGAGACTAAATCATTTCCAATGTGACCACCTATAGGTGTCATCCACAAATTCTTAAATTCTAAACAAAATAATACAACTCATTAAAAATTGTAAAAAGAAAAAGTGTGAGGGTGGATAAGAGTAGTAAGTAGGTGAGTATGACTAAAGTACATTATAGCTCTGCATGGAAATATAAATATCACACAGAAACTCCTTTGTAAAATTAATATACACTAATACACACATGCATGCACACCCACACACACCAACTATCTGAAGACTGGGAGAGTGATCATTAAAAATAGACAGGTTCTGAGAAAGTCAAGATTTAAAGGAAGGAAACAGCCTGAGATTTATGAATTCCCTAATTTTAGAGGTTTTAGCCTACTTAGCAGGATTTGAGACATTCATAGTGCTGAAATGTGAGGGAGGAATCCTAGAAGACAGAGTTGGGGATTTCTACATTTTGTATATAATCTCTACCTGAGCCCTAAATCATGTATGCCAAAAATTGAATGCAAAATTAAACTAAGAAAAGAACTGATAAAGTCTGCAGTCTGACTCTAACTAAGGTAATTAGCTACTAAAATAAAAGTATCAACATCATTCAAGGATGTATAAAAGAGTCCTAGGTTCCCATGGTGTGCATTCACAATGTCCAGGACGTAATCCAAAATTCCTCAACATGTAGAGAGCCAGAACAGTAAGACTTTTTATAAAGAAAAAAAAAAGAGTATGCAGTCCAAAAGGTCTAAGATAATCAAGATTTCACAGTTAACAGATACTTTCATGCACCTATCTTAATTGTACTCAATGGTATAAAGGAAAATATCAGTTGCAATGAATGAAAAAACTAAAGCTCCAAAGTGAAGAAAAACACATTTTTACACACACATGCACTCATGTGCATACACAAAAACACAAGTGTATACACACACACACATCAAATATAAATTATGAAACAGATAATTATAATGTCTGACATAAAAATTTTACCTGATAGACCTAAGAGCAAAATGCACACCACACAGGGAAAAGTATCAGCAAGTGTAAGAGCAGTAGAAACTGTCCAATCTGAAGAACAATTAAAAGAAAAGAAAAACTAACAAAAGTAAACAGTCACAGGAACTTTAGTGAAAATACAGAAAGGCTGAACAGGAATAACTGAAGTCTAAATAGGAGAGAGGCAGGGTCACAAGTATTTGAAGACACAGTTACTGGAATGTTATGATGAAATGGACCAGGTACAGTATGGTCCTAGTATAAGAATCCATAAGTAGAACAATGGAGCAGAATAAAAAGCTCAGAAACACACCCTCACTTCCACAGTCACCTGATTTCCATCAAAGGTGCCAAACAACCTGTGGAGAGAAGCATGTGTCAACAAATAATGCTAGAAAAGCTGGATACTCACATGGGCAAAAATAAGAGCTTGACCTTTGTCTTAGTCCATTTTCTTCTGCTATAACAAAATACCTGAGATTAGGCTATTTGTAAAGCACAGAAGTTTATTCGGGTAGGCTGGGAAATCCACAAGCATTTACCAGGATTTGCTTGGAATCTGGTGAGAGCCTTCTTGCTGCATCCTAACACGGAGGAGGACATCACAATGGGTATACAGCATGCACACTGGCATGGGTCTCTCTTCTCTTCTTGTAACACCACTATAGCCATCAAGGAGGCCCCACCCTGAAGACCTAATGGAATCCTAACTACTTCCCAACAGCCACAGCTCCAAACATCATTGATGTATCAATGTGGGCATTAAGTTCCCAACACATGGATTTAGTGAGGGCACATTCAAACCACAGTCAAACTCTATGTCACATGATACACAAAAATTTGAGATGTATCACAGACCTTAATGTATATGTTAAAATGGTAAGGGTATCAGAGAAAGCACAGGAGAATGTATTAATAACTTATTGAAGACTCTAACATTTTAAGGTTGGCAAAGATTTCTTAGTTCACAAAAGGCAATAACCATAAAAGAAAATCCTGATAAATCAGACGCCATCAAAATGAAAAACGTCAGCTTATCACAAGACACTTACCAAGAAAATAATAGTCCACAGACTAAGCAAATACTTGCAAAACACAAATGTAACAAAAGACTTGTATCTATGACATATAAAAAACTCCTAACAATGACAAAAACACATACAGTCTATTTAGAAACAGGTGAAAATCTGAACTTCAGAACACAAGATAAAAGAATGGCCAAAATGTATATGAGAGATTGTGCATGACTACGAATTGTTAAGGAAATGTGAATGAATGTCATAAGAAATTACAACATAACACAAAATGGCTTAAAAGAACTGACAGTCCACCCAAAAAGTATGAGAATTTCTTATAAAACTAAACACACAGCAATTTCAATACTAGGTATTTATTCAAGAGAAATGAAAAGATACAGTCACAAAATGTCTTGTTCAGAAATGTTCACAGAGAATGAATTCATAATGCAAAACTGAAAACTGACTCAGTAAATGGATAAACTGGCACATTCAGGTAATGGATTATTTGCTAATCAATGAAAAGAAACCAACTACTGATACATACAACAGTATGTATGATAGTGTATATGAACACTGGGAAGAAAAAGGGAAAACAGTAAAATTTAAATATAATTGGAATAGATTATATATATATATATGTATATATAGGTGTATATATATATATAGGTGTATATCTATATAAGTGTATATATACATAAGTGTATATATATATATAAGTGTATATATATATGTGCATATATATATAAGTGTATATATATATATATATATATATGTGCATATATATATATATATATATATACACACAGGGTAGTACTGGGATTTGAACTCAGGGTTTTGCACTTGCCAGGCAGGCACTCTACCTTGAGCCACAAAACACATTGGTGATATTTTTGAACATGTATGTGCCAAGCATTGTTCTAAGCAACTAATATGGATAATCTTCTGTAATTCTTAACCCTCCAACTTCATATCGCAAATGAGGAAACTGAGGAGAAGAGACAGGTCATCCACATCACTTGTGTCACTCATAAGCGTGTTTCCTTAGGGTTCCACTGCTCACACTAAAATCAAAAGAAAGGAGAGAAACACTAAATTCACTAAGTTTTTGATTAACTTGAAAGGGGGTGTGGGGGGGGTGCCAAGAGAAAACATCTCTAGAAAATAAAAGTGTGCACCTGGTGGTTCAAATGGACATATCTGTAGGGCAGGCCTTGCTGTCTTACCTTAGGAAACTGTTTTACAGGAATTAATACTTTCTGTCCCAGCTTCATGTTCTTATTAATCACCACATCAATGTACTTTTCTTCGTCCTTGCCTTCTCCTTTTTGAAACTTTTCTATTTCTGTGGAAGCAAAAAGATAATCATGAAGTGTGTGACCCAGAACTGCAGAGGCTGGAAGCCCTGTAGAGCTCTGCTGTGACAGTAAATCAAATGCGGAAATACAGACTGTTAAGCTGCTATGATTTTCTCAAGTCATGACATTTCCTATTTTGTCAATGAACCTTCATCAATAAAAGATGCATACATCGTGGATCCACAAGGTCAAATTTCAATGCCAATGAAAGGGAATAATAAACTAGGAAAACAAACAAAAATAAATGAAAATGAAGCTCCTTGGGGCCTTCTGGAACCCTAGAGAAAGGCTGATCAAATAATAAAGGAAAGGCAGATGGTGGCACTATAAGCATTAAAAGCCCCAACCAACCTCCCATGGTCCTAACCTGATCATCCAAATCCTACCTCTGCGCACAGGGAGCATCATCGCCTGCATGTTGACACCAATGCCCTGCCTAATGCTCTCTGCTCTACTTGCAATGTCCTAAAGGCGATTTCCCCTTAATGTGCTTTCAAGACTCACCCTGCTCACATCTATCTCTAGGCAATTGTCCCTTTACTCAGTTGAGCAGCAGGATGGGCGAATCAATCATTCCCACCTTGATTCTCACAAAGCTCTTCAAATACAGCTCCACTACTCCCTTAAATGAGAAAAAAAATGTGGTACCTCTTCCACCAGAACGTAAGTGTCTCTTAGTAAAATCTACTTTTCCATCCTGCCAACATCTACTATCAAGCACTTGGCCTGTGTGCCAGAGCTAGAAGTACCAGCGTTTGTTTTTGTTCACTTCACGTATAGCCTATGGTATTTGGTTGTACAAAAGGCACACATGGATGTTTGAGTGACTAATGAATGAGCAAATGAGTATGTGAGCTGCCACCTCCAAACCCTGACTAAAAGGTAATAGGTTAAAAGAAGGGTAATGGTAGCACAGAGAAGGAGCCAAAGATGGCATTTGATGTACAAAGTGAGACCTGTATTTATCCTTTTTGTTTGCTGAGCTGGAAATATTTAAGAAGTTAATGTTGTCTTCCCTAGACTAGGCACCCCACACTCATGATGCAATTCCCTCCTCAGAACAGACAGGAGGAGAATCAAAGCAGTGATCTGCCTAATAGCAAAGGCAAAACTTAAAGCCCTGATTTGCCAGCTCTGAAAACAGGGTGTCACGACAGTCTCTCTCACCATTTTGTATGCCCTACAGGAAAAAAAACAAGGTCTTTTTGCCATCCTGGGAAAAATGGAAGGTGTGTTTAAAGCTGGAGGCTTCCTGTTTGGGACTGCAGTCATGACTAAAGGAACCTGCGAGCTGACAGAACCATTCATGAGCTTTGTTTCATCCTCCCATCTCTTACCACAGTGCTGTCTATTATACAAAGATTTTCATATACACAGAAGAGTATTATTAAGGAATAAATAAAAATGAATAAACAATAAACAGATAACGTTGCTTGTAGGAAAAAATGGATGGAACGAGAAACCACCATGTTGAGCAAGATAGGTCAAGTTCAGAAAGATAAGTGTCACGTATTTCACTGATACATGGAATACAGTAGTCGTGGTCATCATCGTTATCACCACCACCATTATCATAAGAAGACATGATTGTAAAGGGGGGAAATTTCAAGAGGAGGTCACCAACAGAGAGGACAGGAAAGGACAGGGTGATGGGGGGTGAATACAATTGAAGTACAATATGTATGACATACAAAACATGTGAAAACAGCATAATGAAACCCACTAAAAACTGTTTAAAAGGGAGGATGAGCAGGGGGCTAAAAACAGAGTAATAGAAAGGGGGATTTAAAAAAACATGTTTCAATGAGCAACAAAAAATTGTTACAATTTAAAGGACACATAACGGGATATAAAGATTTCAAGATTCCAGTTCTAGAGCTGCTAATGACTGTCTTCTGTGTGATTCATAAAGTACACCTGTTAGAACTCGGGTTGTTCTTATCTAAAACTAGAGTAAGCATTTGGTACTAAAACATAGAGATTGTGGTTTATGGATCCTGACAAAGACTCTCTCCCCTTGACCAAAATTTAGTAATTAAGGTATTTTCCCCAAGTTCTGTGAGTCATCACAGCAAATTATCTAACGTTGGGGCTGGGAGGCCTGGAACTCTCAAATCTGCAGTCAGCCGGGCAGACACATGAGGGGCAGGGCATGGCGTCTGTGGTTGAACTGGAGCTGTCTTTGGAGACTGACCCTGACTCCAGAACTGAACTGTTTGACATCCAGCTGGCAATGCAGAACTGGATGGTGTCAGAAAACACTACACAAGAGAAATTAAAAAAGAAATGGAGAAGAGGAGAGGAAGAAAGGATCTGAGACAAGGAAGGCCTGCTAGGAGAAGTGAAGAGCAGCACATTCAATCTGCAGCTTCTGATCAAAGCGTCTAGGAAGTAAAAATACCAACCCGCCAAATAAGCTCATGAGTCACTTTGCCTGTTTTCTTGCTCCATATGATGTTTTAATCCTAAAAGATTCTAAGGAGACCCTGTCTGGGAACAGCAAATACGGAAACAGAACAGTAGCTTTAATGTTATTGGCTTTTTTGCCTACAAAATTAATACATGCAATGTGACAAAAATTTAAAACAGGACAACAAGATATGAATTTAAAGGAAGAAGTTTATTCTGCTATACACAGTCCTCTTATATTTATGTATTATTTCAGGAATTTTCCTGAAATAACGAAACACAGTTTGAAAAGTGTAGAACTAATGGAATAAATGTGCTGAATTAGTTTTGTTTTTCTCAATAAAAAGCAGTAAGTCACACATCAGCTGTTTCATTGAGGATAACAATTCATAACTTCAGCTTTAATTAGAAGAAAATAAATCCCATCTTCTATTGTCTATTTATATAGTAACTGAAAATATCTTTGGCATAGTTTAAAATTCAATATACATACACTAAAATCTCCTTTAAAAAGATTTAACTACCTGCTTTCTTTTCAAATATCAAAGAATATAACTTTTGAGAACTCAGAAGAGATGGACCACTTAACATTTAATTCCATAAAATCAGCATTTCAAATGCTCCTTGTACCAGTGATTTTTAAAATTTTAAATTAATACACAGTCACACAGGTAGAACTTAAATGCTAAAAAATAGGCATTCTGACTTTTATTAAAGTTTGGGTATATCTATGATTTTAAAGAGGAAAATAAAATAAAATTCTTAATTTTCCCTCTACATGGACACAGCCCACTTTAAAAACTGAGTTTCCTAAAATATGCTGTTGCTATGATAAAAGCGAGAGCACACAAGGGAGGGGTGAGGATAGGTAAGACACCTAAAAAACTAGCTAGCATTTGTTGCCCTTAATGCAGAGAAACTAAAGCAGATACCTTAAAGCAACTGAGGCCAATAGGAAAAGGGGACCAGGAACTAGAGAAAAGGTTAGATTAAAAAGAATTAACCTAGAAGGTAACACCCACGCACAGGAAATCAATGTGAGTCAATGCCCTGTATAGCTATCCTTATCTCAACCAGCAAAACCCCTTGTTCCTTCCTATTATTGCTTATACTCTCTCTACAACAAAATTAGAGATAAGGGCAAAATAGTTTCTGCTGGGTATTGGGGGGGGGAGCGGGAGGGGGTGGAGTGGGTGGTAAGGGAGGGGGTTGGGGCAGGGGGGAGAAATAAACCAAGCCTTGTATGCACATATGAATAATAAAAGAAAAATGAAAAAAAAAATATGCTGTTGCTAACTTCAGTAACCTTTGAATTATATTGGAATAAAATATTTCAATGCCTACAATTCAGCTTTAAAAAAAAAAATCTGTTTAAGACTGAGGCCATATGAAAGCACGCAGATGAAATTCAAGGTATCTCACCACAAAGGAAAGAGCTCTGAGCCCCACTGCGATTCAAACAGACCTGGTAGAAATTTTCTCAGGTCTTTATGCCTTCCATCTGTAATAGTCAAAACCCGTCAAAACTTTAATTTTAAGAGGTCTTATTTAATCCACAACTTTGTATTTTCTACTTAAGGGTTATAAGTAGTTTCATGAGTTTATGAAATTCAATAAAATACAATGCAAGAAAATGGGCAGTCGTGCCCATCTATAAAATCTTGAGAGAACTACCTGTTAATCATTACAAAATTCATTCTATCACCCTCCTGATTTTCTCAGAGGAGGGAAGTGTGTGAGATCCCCAAGATAGAGATGGCCCTCTAGCAACTACACCAATGGAAAGCCAAGCAACAGAAACAATCTAAATGTCAAATGCACAGGGGAGCTGACTTTCGCTAATTCCCAAGTTAGATTTGCTATCATATGGCTTCATATAACAATACCATCTCCCAGCTCAGAAGTAATATGCCAATGTGTGATAAGGTTTTAGATAATGCAGGAAATTAAAACGCTGTATTTTCAAACCATACATATCAAATTTTCAGTAATAATGCCTGTTTTGTTTTTTGTTTATTCATTTGTTTTTCCCTTGTGCAGTACAGAGCTTCCTAAGCAATGACCCTCTTCTTTTTAGCCCATCAAACACATAAAAATACACTAATCTTCTAAGAAACAGCCAAATAATCTTTGGGTTCAAATGAGTTAAATTTCCAATATAAAATTTTAGTAGTATAATTATTTATTAAAACTGCTTCTTTTCTCTCACAGAATCAAACACACCTAAACTGCTATTTTTTCCTTGGTCCTAGCTACTTGTTTATCCTACAGATATACTTGTGTGGATATAAAATATTATATACAAAGTTACCCAATACAACATTGTCTTTAATAGTAAAACACTGAGAACCATCTACATACCTATCAAGAGGAGAATGGATTAATAAGCTCATATGCATCCACACAGCAGGAGAGCACGTAGCCACTTCACAAAATGCAGAGACGCCTCATGTTCTGATATGTAAAGGAGGCTGCCATATACAATGTTTAGTTAGCATATACACAAGGTACACAGTGGAAAATGTGTGCTCATATTTACTTATATACACACATTTCTTGTGTGTAACACCAATATGTG